CCCTCCTCATTCCCACTTATAATGGACTGAAGAGAAACCTTCCCTGTATCTCTGGCTATCTCCATGTGTCCGTGGCTGTGCAGTTCCGCGAGCGGGATGCCCTGGAGGCCGTGTTCCGCTTCTGGTCAGGAGGGGAGAAGGGACCCGAGGTGTTTCCCATGAGTCGCCTTTGGGACTCGAGGCTGCGCCACTACCTGGGTTCCCGCTACGATGCCCGGCGTGGTGTTGCAGACTGGGACCTGCGCATGAAGCTGCATGATCGAGGGGTAAGGGAGCCTGGGAGCAGGTGGCCGGCATCTGAGTCCTGAGTGAAGCAAGAGGGCTGGGACTTTGACCCCAGGTCTGAGGAAGGAGGACTGGGGTCTGAGGGAGAGTGATTCCTATAGGAATAGAGTTGGGGTTCCTATACCAGATTGACCATCAAGTCCTTTTCCATCATCAAGGCCCAAGTCATCCACATCCAGGAATTCCGACGCTGGAGGGACACAGGTGTTGCGTTTGAACTTAGAGACTCAAGTGCCTACCAAGTGCCCAACAGGACCCTGGCGTCGGGTCGCCTCCTGAGCCACGTGCGTGTCTACCCCCAGGCTTGCTCTGAGTCTTTTAGTTCAACCTATGAGTCAAGGTCCCCTGTTTGGACCTCACTCGCGATCTCATTTTCCCGTTTTTTTTCCAGCGTGGGGAACGCGTGGCAGCGCGCGGGTACTGGGGGGATATCGCCACAGGCCCCTTTGTAGCTTTTGGCATCGAGGCAGACGACCAGAGCCTCTTACGGACGAGTAACGGACAACCGGTCAAGGTGTGTGGCCGACGGGGCTGGGGTTCAGCCCAGTAGGCAGGTTCCTGCCTTCTGTCTTCCAAGTCCTGCCCCTTCCGCCAAATGCCTGTTTGAGCTCCATCCCTCATTTCGGTCCGGTGTCTCCAAGTAACAGGTTCTGTCCCCAACCTCTTGGACCCCACTTGGGAGCGCTACGATCCAGTTCTCTTACTATGTCCTAAACCCAGCCCTGGGAAAGCGACAAGAAATTCTAGCTGTCACCTGTGCACAGTAAGCCCGGCCCCAGCCAATCTAGGCCACCCCCGTAAGGTTCCTAGGCTAACATAGGGGCCCCTCACCTTTTCTCCTGGGCAGACTGCAAGCGAGATCACGCAGCACAATGTTACAGAGCTGTTCAGAGAAGTGGCCGCCTGGAGGGGCCCGAGAGCCATCCAGGAGTACCTGGAGTCGCCCGAGCCGGATGGTAGGAAGCCAGCAGCTGCAAACTTCAGATGGGCTGTTTTTTCCCCAATTTTAGATGGAGCTAATTTGGAATATCTGGGCAGTTGGCCTCTCTTTGATGTCTGTTCTCTTTTTCTCTCTTTTCCCCCCTTTCCTAAATCCTGACACCACCACTAGGAGAATTCTCAGTCCTCTGTAGAGGTCTAACTGGAAACTGTCTAGATTCCCCCAGACATGCTCGCCACATGAATCCTGCCTTTCGCTCTTAACTATTCCATCCCTTAGCTCATCCCTTCCTAAGAGCCTGTTCCTCTATTCAAAATGGGTCTCTGCCTCATGGGCCCACCTCCCCAGATTTGTGGGAATCCAGCTCAGAGAAAGGATGAAAAGGGGGGGGGGCTTCTAGAAGGACAAGGAAAGTGAACAAGATAGCTCAGCAGGGAGCAGTGCTTGCCATCAGGGTATTGCAACCCAAGTTCGATCCCTGGGATGCAAGTAAAAGTGGAAGGAGAGAGCAGACTCCAAAATGTTGTCACCTGACCTTTCACACGCACACTGAGGAACACACCATCACCAAAAAATAACTCTAAAGAAAAAGCCAAGAAAGCGAGGCGTGGTCATGCATGTCATCCCAGCATTCAGGAGACTGAGACAGGAAGAAATGCCTGCTCTTGGTAACAAATCCAGACATCATCAGCAACAAGATGAGAACCTGTCACAAAACAAAAACAAAAGTAGAGAACAAGGAACTCCATTATTTGTTTGTCTGCCCACTCGTGTGTCTTTTTGACTACCTCCGTTAAGATTTAGATTTTGTGTGTATATGCACATACACGTGTAGGTGCTGTCAGAGACCACAAGAGGGCGCATATCCCTAGAAAGGAGTTAGAGGTGGTTATAAACAGTCCAACATGAGTTTTGGTGCTAGGTACAAAGAGTAGCACACTCTCTTAGCAGGGTAAGTCTTCTCTCCAGCCCCAGAACTGATGTTTTTCTTCCCTTTTCTTGCAGCGCCTACTCGAGAACCCTTTACTATGCACTTTCTGTCCCTCGAATCTTCGCAGACTCTCCACCATAAGACCTGCTACAAGGGCCGGTTCCAACTGCTCTATGTGTCCTGTGGGTAAGCAGGACACAGGTGTGCCCATAGAGACCTAGCATCAGGCCCGGTTTCTTCTTTCTCGGGATCCAGGGATCAGTTTTACAGTCTCCACGTGCTCAGGGCCTTCGTCCTTACCCGTGTGTCACAGCTCCTAGAATCCGCAGGCTGGCCCATCTTCTCAAGCCCTAAGCTTGGGGCCTTTTCTCTTCGCAGGATGGTCCATCTTCTCAGCCCTGAGCTTGGGGCTTGCGTGGCCCCTGGAGGAAACCTGGTTGTGGAATTAGCTCGGTGAGCCAGAGAGGAGCAGGGTGGGAAGGTCCCAGCCGGGCCCCAAACCCAGTTTTCTCACATGCGGTTTCCTGAACCAGGTACTTGGTGGACCTGCGGCCCAAGGAGTTGAAGGCGTTTTCTGACCGTGTTGAGGAGATAGCGCGGGCAGCTGGGTTCGCCCCTCATACAGGGGCCACCCCCTCGGAGACCTTTCTGCGCTTTTACAAGTTAGGGAACTCTACTATGGGTAGTGGAGACTCAGCTGTGGAATCTGCATTGGTGCCCTGTAAAGTCCCAGCCCCTCCTCTAGAAGCGATAAACCCACTCCAGGCTGACCTTGTCCCTCCTCTAGAAGCGATGAGCCCACCCCAGGCTGACCTTGTCCCTCCTCTAGAAGTGATGAGCCCACCCCAGGCTGACCAGGCTTCTCCTCTAGAAGTGATGAGCCCACCCCAGGCTGACCACACTTCTCCTCTAGAAGCGACGAGCCCACCCCAGGCTGACCAGGCTTCTCCTCTAGAAGTGATGAGCCCACCCCAGGCTGACCACACTTCTCCTCTAGAAGCGATGAGCCCACCCCAGGCTGACCAGGCTTCTCCTCTAGAAGTGAT